CGCGGATGCGCCCAGGCGACGGGGCAGGAGCAGAGCGGCTGGAAGGAGAAGGACGCTGCTGTTTCCAGTCAGGGAGGCCTCCCACCCCTGGGCCCAGGAGGTCCTGTCCCACTTGCCTGCGTGCCAAACCCCCTCTTCCCCTGTGCCTGGGCTGAGCCCCCAGCAGCCCCTCGGGGTGCAGGGCCAGGCCTGTCTAGACAGGGCTCTCTCTCCCGGGTGATGCGCTCCCGTATCTAGGAAAAGCGGTGACTCAACCCTAGCTCAGTAGATCGACAGCCAGACGTGCCCAAAGCTGGGAGGGTGCGTGGGGCGGGGCGGGCCGGATCTGCCCTGCCTCTGGGAGCACGGGCCGACCAGTGCAGCCAGGCCCTGGGACCTCGGCAGACGTGGGAAGGACATATTTTTAGGACGGGTTTCTATAGTTTTCAGAAGACGGCGGTGGAATTTTTCTCTTGGCCGCGTCTCTTCCCCTGGCTTTCCTGGGGCACAGCCAGCTCTGGCTCCAAGCTGCTCCAGGAATTCCTGCCGTTTGCTCTTAACGTCACGTTGGGGCAGGAAACAAAATTCCTTTCCGACGTGCCCAGAAGACCCGCCCTCGTGCCCAAGTCCTGGCTGGGGCCTGGGGTCCCTGAAGGGTTAAAGATGCCCGACCACAGCCCTTGCTGTTGCTTATCTGGCATGTCAGAGGGCTGGAGCTTGTGGGTTTAAGCTGGCTTAAAGGGGAAAAAGGCCTTGTGCTAGGAATGGGATTAGCGCAGAGGCCGCATGAGCTCAGGGAGGGTTACGCAATCCCGGAGCCACCACAGCCCTGAAAGGGGGAGTTTGCACGTTGCCAGGGGCTGTGTCGGGAATGTTCCCTGTCCCTGTGTGAGGCCTGTGGCCGATGGGAACGTGGAGCCCTGGGGAGCCCCTTGCATAGGAGGTAAAGAGCTGCCTGCTGTGATGGGGACAACTTTGCTTCGGGGAGCAGGGGGAGGAAAAGTAGCAGGGCTTCAGTAGGCAAGTGGATGAGATGGCAGGGCTGCTTCCCCCTGCCCACATAGGCTGGGGAGGGGAGATGGTGGGGCTTGCAATTCCTCCCCACCACCCAGCTTGTACGGATGGGCGGGTCTTCACGGAGAAGTGGATACTCACAGTTGGCTCCTCCCAGGAGATAGTGCTGAGCAAGGCTTATCCCTTGTCCCCAGCCCCTGGGTTGGTCTCTGGGCAGGGCCCGAAGCTAGATCCTGAGCTGGGTGACTCCTGGACAAAGCAGGACCTGCCCCCTCCCTCCCGGGAGGCTGTTCTGGGCCTCGTTGCCTTGTAATGAATTCCTTCCCACCCACAGCGTGAGTGCATCTCCATCCACGTGGGCCAGGCTGGCGTCCAGATCGGCAATGCCTGCTGGGAGCTGTACTGCCTGGAGCATGGCATCCAGCCCAATGGGCAGATGCCCAGCGACAAGACGATTGGTGGGGGTGACGACTCCTTCAACACCTTCTTCAGCGAGACCGGAGCCGGCAAGCACGTGCCTAGGGCCGTCTTTGTGGACCTGGAGCCCACCGTCATAGGTGAGTATGCAGCCCCTGCCCCAGCTGCATGCAGGCTTTCCCGTGTTCCCGTGCTCGGCTGAGCCCCCGCACAGGGCCCATGCCCAGGTAGGGACATGCAGCACTCTGCTCATGGACTCCTGCCTCCCCTCTCCCCAGACGAAGTGCGCACTGGCCCCTACCGCCAGCTCTTCCACCCTGAGCAGCTGATCACGGGCAAGGAGGATGCCGCCAACAACTACGCCCGCGGGCACTACACCATCGGCAAGGAAATCATTGACCTGGTGCTGGACCGCATCCGCAAGCTGGTGAGTGGGTGCAGCTTCCCTGGTGGAGGCTGGGGTAGATGCAATGGGAAGGGGGAGCTGACCTGCAGTGCCCCTCTGCAGCTGCACCTGGAGCAGCTGCTAAGCCAGCATGGCTCACAAGCCCCTAGTTTGCCCCTGCCCTCCACTTAGAGCTCCCTCTGGGTCTGAAGGACAGGCTTTGTGATCCTGGTCCCCAGTTCCCATCTGCCCTCCTGCAGGGGTACGGGCTGTCGCGGTCTGCAGGGCCGAGCGTCATTCAAAACTTCTCCATCCCTGCCCACAGCCATTGTAAAGCCTTTCACAGCCCTGGGGGTCAGAGAACTGAGGCACGTCCTCCTGGCTGTGACTGACCCTGCAGCTGGGGTTGGAGATAGCAGCTGTCCCCTGACCTGGCACTGCCTAGGGCCAGGTTCACAGCCCAGGTACCAAATGCTGCTAATGCCAGATGCAGGCCCCTCACAGAGCCAACTGCGCCTCTCCTTATATTGCAGGCTAGGACAGACAGGAACCTTAGAGAAGTGGGTCTGGAAGGGACCTCCAAAGGTCATCTAGTCCAGCCCTGCCTGAGGCAGGATCAGCCCTGTCCATCCTATACAAATCCATTATTTAAAACCTTAGCAAAACTACCACCATTGACCTTCTGAGTGTGAGCAGTTGCGGGTCCTTCAAGCCTGTCACTGCCTTGCTAGGAGCCTTAGCTGGAATTATAAAGATGCATCAACATGATATTTCTATCTAATACTGTAACTGGTGCAGATGGGACAAGGATAGAA